GGATACGGCAGCCCCTTACGAAGCGCTGTTCTGCAAACCAGATTTTGAAGTGGGGAGATATTTTACACGTGTAGGCTAAAATTCAAAAACTCCTTGGTCAGTTTTTTCGCACGCTCGGTTCAGTTCTAGGAAACGACCTTCCACATCATCGTCAACGAGAGTGCTACTAAAATACAGATTTCTGGGGCCCCCACAGACCTAGTGCCTCTGAATCCCAGGAGGCGGGCCTGGGGATCTGCATAAAGTCACCCTCTCCAGATGACTTATACACACTGGCGTCCGCAAAGGACTCTAGGGGATCAAATGGGCAAAGCGTGGCGTGGTTCAGAGAGACTTGTGCGAGGCAGCCTTTTATGTTCAGGAGGCCAGGTGCAGGAAACTGCCCCTTAAGCATCCCCAGAATCTGTGGAAAAGTCAGGTGGTTAGTAAGCGTTTCGCAGAGACTGGCGAAAATAAAACAAAGGAAAATGCTAATATGAAAATAATTACATTTCAAGCCACTGTGGGTGGTTTTAAAATCTCTAAAAAGAGGTTCGGGCTGCATGAGACTTTTGGGAACAGCTGCTTCAGCAAGTCAGCATATGGGAGCAGTATTTCCTGCAGTAAGAGGAGGTGACCTAACTATTAGAACTGTCTATGGGGACAGGCCTCTGAGACTTCCAAATCTGTTTTGTCCCCAGAGCCCATGCTGGGTTAAACAGGTTCTTGGTGGCCAGCAACAGAACCGGCTCTGGCTTTCTTAAGCAAAGGCTTTGCAGCAGGAACCAAAGCAGAGTTTGGGCTTTCCAGTTGTCATTGTGATGAATGAGACTTCTGATAAGAATCATGTCCTCACTGAAGAGACCTGAGCCCCTGAGCCTGACACCGTCTGCCTGCGGAGGCGGTAGATCTGGCTCTTCCCCCTTCTTGGTAGGCTGGCAATGGCTACCTCAGATCGGAATTCTGAAGAAGGGATAGGGGGCCTTGAAAAGAATAAGATGGATGTTAGACAGACCAGGAATAAAAATGAGGGAGAGAAAACTGGCCATCTCAAATGCTTTCTAAGGCTCTGGTGCCGGACTGCTCAGGTTCGAATCCCAGATTTGCCACTTGGTGTGCCTCAGTTTGCTCATCTATAAAACGGCGATGAAAGTCCCAGTGTCTTAAGGTCGTGGTGAGGATTAAACACTTGGAGAAGTGTCGTCTACGGCCATGCCACCCTGAACGAGCCCGATCCCGTCTGATCTCGGAAGCTAAGCGGGGTTGGGCCTGGTTAGTAGTACTTGGATGGGAGACCACCTAGGAAGACCAGGTGTTGTAGGCATGAAAAATAAAAAGAAAGAAAGAAAAGTGTCTGGCTCATAGTAAGTGTTTGCAGTCACGCGCGTCTGTGTGTCTCTCTTCCCACAAACACACTTCATCCCATTTTTGTGGTTTTCCTTTTGGATTGTGTTTTCTACCATATCTTGATCTTGCCAGGCACAGCTTTGCTCCTCTCTCTCTATTCCTTAGGAATTTAGCTCCAGAGCTGACAAGGGGATACCCTAAAATCTTATTCCTGGATAGGCATCTGCGGATGGAAGGGAAGGAGTGTGACAGATGGCCCGTGGGTTTGTCAGCACCCGGGTGACAAACTTTCTTGCTTGCTCACGGATAATAAACTAGCTTTTCATTCTTTTAGTGCTTTACCTTTTAATTGCACACTGAGTCCATCACGATTTGATGTGACTTTTAACCATTAATGTGGGTACCGAAGAAGGTTCATTTGCTTCCTTAAATTCCTCTTGCCCTTCTTCCCATCCCAGCTTTCAACTGAGATACAGGAGTCATTCTGATTCTGTTATGGGAGCCAATGGAAGTCATTTATCTGCCTTACATTTGGCTCTTAGCCTCTCTCCTCACACCCCTCTTGCCTCTGGTCCCCCAGTAGCACCTCTCACTCCCGTGCTAGCCCAAACTTGTTCTTGTCCATAATTTGCTGGGACATTTGATAGGATTGTGTTTCTAAGGAGATAATTCAGCATCCTTACAAGCCATCTTTTTTTTTTTTCATCCTAGTGTTCTAAGTAGAACAGGTCATCTGCTAGATTAAGCCATGATGCAGTCTCTTGCAGTTAGAAGATATTTTATACGTGTAGTGAAACTTTGTGGAAATGGATGGTGTTCGCTGGTCTGGGGGACAAAGTCTCCGGATACAGCAAATTGCAAAACTATTTTGAATTCCTAAGTGATTCTTACAAATTTATGTGCTAATGCATTTGCTTTGTAAGTATGGAAAGTCTTTCTCCTCTGAACAGTGACGTGATTCATAGTTTAGCCTTATTTCCTTTTAAGGTAACTTGTCCTTCATTAATTAGTCTTATCTCTGTGGCAGTATCCTATTCACGTATGAGCTTCCTCCTTTGTTCTCTGAATATCTTGTGTTGTTTTGTTGTTATTGTGGTGATAGTGAGGGTTTGATTGTAAAACAGGTGATTCATTCACAAGGGCCAACAATAAAGTATCTTTGGTCAGATTCTCTCTTCCACTCTTGTGCCCCCAGCCCACGGCCACTCAGTTCCTCTCCCAGAAGACACCTGCTGTATTAGTATTTTGCATTTCATTCCAGATTTATCTCATGCACATATAAATATATGTTATTTCCTCCTTTTTGGACAGATGGTAGCATACTATATATACACGGCACTCTGCATCCAGCTGAATACTGTGTATTCAACAATCCTTATACGTCTTTACATATAAATATATAAAGAGGTTTCTCATATTTTCTTTACAGTGACAGAATATTCCATCATATGGAGGTGTGATAATTTAAGTTTTTCCCCATAGATGAAGCATAGAGATTTATGCTTCCTGATGATTTTTGAGATGAAGATTCTAGATAAGAATGAATAAGTAGAATCCATACTGAATTGATGCAGCTGAAACAAATTCAGATATTGAGCATGGTCTTGTGTTTTCCATAAGAAGTTTTTCTATGAAATGATAAAGAATCTTGCAGTGGTCCTTAGGGGGAACATCTAGCTTTGCATAGGTAGTTTTGGCAATCCAAGAATAATCAAGAAAAGAGCATTGCATACATTTGTAATGGATTATTTGGTAAGCTACTGAGTCTCTAATCTTGAAAAATAAGGGGTTCTGTTTTAAAGGACTATTCTGAGTCCAGTCAGATGTATCTAGAATCATAAGGCTGATAAAGAGAAATAAAGAATTGGTACTTATCATTCAGAATAGGATTGGAAAAGTTTCAGAGTCAGGAAAACTTTCCTGGGTGATAAGTAACCCACTTTTCCAATAGTTCTTTTTTAATGCATGCCATAATGGGCTAGATTTGGGGGTGAATAGAGGCAGGACTATAACTTTCTTGAGTATGTGGTAGCTGACATATCATAGCTAATAAATATTTGTTTAATTGAATGGAAAGTATGATCAAAGAATTTTAAAGTACTGTAAAGACAACCTTACCTAAACATGAATCTGGAAATACAAATACACCTAGTAGATGAATTCAACCTGTTAGCAAAATTGTTGAGTAGCTAGGAAATGCAGGCTATTTTTGTGAGTCTGAAGATGAGAACATGTCCTGTATAACGGGGAAGCAGGTCAGCGACCCTCTTCATTGCACCCTCTGGGGAATCGTGTACCTTTTAGGATAAGAAAAATCACCTCTACATTTGAAGCTACTTGAAGAGGTTCTTCACCTTTTGTTTGTTTTGGATGTCTTCCTATTTGTTTGATGATTTCCTTTACAAATAGGTTAAATATTGGTTGTGTTGACCTTAAAAACATAGAGAGCCATATATTTTTCCAGCAAAATGGGTTTATTTGGGAACAACAAAGAATTGCAATTCAGGACTTGCGGGCTAATGGCGACCCAGGGAAGTCTAGAAACACAGGAGAGAAACTGTCTTTTATGGACTTGGGAGGGGCTTTTGTAAAGGAAGCCTCCATTGGAGGAAACCGAGAGTTCTAAGTGTAGTGAGTTCTCATTGGCTGAGCCACAGCGGCCTCCCATTGGCCGAGCCCAGGAAGAATCTTCCCTCCTGCTGGAGTAGTAAAGTAGTCTCACTTCCGGCTGGAGGTGGGAGGTGGACGGTCCGTCTCTTCCTTCCTGTAGGGGTCAGCCGTGCATGATGAGTGACCCCTACCTCAGAGTTCTTTTTAGCCGCCATTTTCAGTGAGGTTTCCGTTGAGGCAGCAGTTCCTCCGTGGAGTCCTATGAGACAGCATCGATTTCTGTCGGTTCCACCACTTTGAAACGCAGCCCCGTACACCTGCCCGCCTTCGGCGCAGCTGACACGGCTCTTAAGGCGCCGACTTTATGCCGAGACGAGGTTGGGGGCTGATGAGCCAGCGCGGGTTGCCCCGGCCGGCGTGCGGTTTGGGTGGCTCAGCTTTACGAAGCGAGGCTGCTGGGCGGGCCCCGAGCCCACGTCCGGCGGCCGTCGCGCGGTGACACGGCGCGGCGAGCGGCCGTCCCCTATCGCTTTCGTCTTGGTTTTCGGTGAAGCCGAGTGGCATTGGGTGGCCAGGGCCAGTGAGTCACCGCTAAGAGTCCTGATGCGTGGTTCGAGCGTGTCTTTCCTCAAAGCTTTTTTCCTTCTTTTCTTCTTTATAAAAGAAGAAACTCGGTTCCGTGCAGAACCTTCTCTTGGCTCGTTGGCCGTTTTTCAGATTGTTTTTCTCTCAGGAGCCAGAGCTCTTTGACCACAGCCTTTAATCTCAGAGCGATTTTGGGGGGAAGGAGGACACAGGCGCCCTCTCACGTGCCTGGGCCACGCCGTCCTCCCGACGTCCGCGGGGAGCACGTCCTGATCCCCAAGCCCCACCCTCCTCGCGCCCCTCATCTTCCTGCTGTGTTACAGTTGACGCATCCGTACCCGCCGCAGGACCAGCTCGTGTTCGCCATTCCCGAGAACGGCTCTTCGGCCTCGGGGAGACTCTGTGTTTACCTTTCTTCCCCGGCGTCTCCGTCCGTAAAACCCCTTTGAGCCTGTCGTCTTTTGACTTTTTCACTGCAGGCCTGCAGACTCCCGCTCCGGAGTTTATTGTTGACGTCGAATCCATGGACATCTTCCCAGTGGGCTGGTGTGAGGCGAATTCTTACCCGTTGACCACACCGCACAAAACGGTCTGTAAGTATCGCCCCCATCTGGAGCCAAGGTGGATAACATCTGCGATCGGGGCGAACAAATAGGCAGTTTATAAAGATGGTGGAGACAAGTTGTAAAAATAAAAAAAGGTTTTACGTTTCCCGCAGAGCACCAATGTTTTTATCTCCCTTGTGAGATGACTCTTTGGAAGCATTTCACGGGTTCACAAACTTAAGTCACAGGGATGAGACAGTAGAAGGTCACAGAGAGTCACAGATAAAATTTCTGGAATCTTTACTCCCAGTTATATATACAATTCATTATTTTGACAAAAAATTTAAGCTAAATACTATATTTTTGTGTTATATCTGAGAAAAGACTACTTTTTCTCATGAGGTTTACCCCCAAAGAGTCATAATTGGTCCCAATAATTTGCTGACATAGTACCCACACTTAACCACTCTTAGCACTAACTGGTGATGTTTCAACTGTATTTAAAAAGCATTACATATCCTTCTGATGACAAAAATACCAAATTAAAACATATATTAGTGAAACAGCCCAACAACACACAAATTCATACAACAGTGTGTTTTAATGCACGTTGTTATAAGTCGTTGTCATGAAATGATACCATTTAAAAATCTTCAAACCTAATCTTGACATTCATTTTTTCCACCCTAAGGTGTATCAAAAATATCATTTAAAGTTGTGGAAACTTAAAGATATAGGGTTTATCATATTTCTCATATTTTCTTTTATATGCTAGCTTTACTCCTTTCTAGCAGTATGCCAGAATGTACACTGTATGTCTAGTAAACGTACAAAATGATATATTTGTGTAGAATCTCAGAACATTGCTGTAAAGAAGTTCTATCTCACAGTCAGCCTTTCATTCCCTGATGTCATCAGATTTTGAAGGGAACCTAAAGTCCTCCAATTGGATATTCAAGAGTAGGGTGGGACCTTGTGTGAAGTAAAGAAGGTAGCGCACATTGTCGACAGGGTGGATTTTAAGGGCTTCTTCTCTCCCAGATACCAAACTGCTCATTGAGTCTGATTCAATGAGAGTTATAGCTTTCCCTCACTTTAAAATATTTCTAAAATTTCGAGCTTAGGATAATTATTTCAATCTCAAAGACATTCTTTTTTCCCCCTCACTTAAAATGATGCAGATTCTTGATACTCTCTGCCAGCACAGCCAACATTTGAGTCCTCCCTGGGTTTGGGCCCAGTCCCATGTCTTAGTTGTGCTTCTGATAGAACTTCATGTCTTGTGTCCTTTACGTAGACTTGGGAAGGGACGAGGAAGAACTTTGAGTGTTTCTAGAGCCAAATCACATATGGGTTAAGGTTAACATAAGGTTTTTCTCCTTGTTCTGCATCTTGCATCCAGGCCTGTTGTGTTTGGCTCCTTACCAAGGTATTAGATGATCGGACATCCCCACCCTTATTAGCAAAGACTGACTGAGACAAGTTATTCCATACTCATTTTTCATCCTAGAGATTACAAATTTGTACTTTTTCATAGTAAAAGCTAGAATACTAAATGAAGTCAAGAATGGATGAACTTTGAGTGACTATTTCTCCTATTTATTCTTGGTTTCATTTCATGTCATATACATACGTTTTGCTTTGAAGAGGCAAACTCTAAGTCTAAACCTGCCAAGCATTGACAGCTTTAGAAGTTTTGTTGGGATTAATTTATGCTTATGTTGAAAGATTTGGGATTACCTGTGCCAAAATTAATAGATGCCAGAAGCTCTGGCCTGTCTTTGTTAAGATGATTCTAATCAATTATAAATTTAAACTGGAAATGTTCTTATCCTAAAAATTATTATTGGCTGGTTTATGTTAATATTTGACAGATTTACTAGGCAACAGTCCTCCTTTCGGGAATAAAATGTTTTGGTTTCAAGACATGCCTGCAATCCTAATTTGGGAGTAGCTGTTCTGGTAACATTATTTGACTTATCACACTTTCTGTGGGGAAAAAAATCATCTAGATAATCGTGTTTGCAACAGTTTATATTACCAGATGTATTCATGTAAGGTATGATATATGTGCTCTTTTTCTTTCTTATTAAAATCACATTTTAAAATAAATAGACAGTTTACTGATAAGAGTAAATATACTAAATTCTATTTAGACCTCCTTTCTGATAAGTCAAAGTCGATTTTATGCTAGATGAAATTGAGATAAAATTAGAACATGAATGAAATCACTTTTCAATATTTAAATTGTTACTTTAAAACTGACACTTTCATACTAAGCTGTTTTTTAAAATGATTTTGCCTAGCTAGCTAACAAAGCTGATTTTCTTTTTGCTTTTTTGCCTATTTTACAGCACAAAAGAAGAGAAAGATTGCAGTTGTACAACCAGAAAAACAGTAAGTTTGTTTTGTTTTTGTTTTTCTTTTTCCAAAAACTATATGATAAACTATGCAGTGCTTTTATAGAGCATGAGAAGCATGGCTGTTTTTATTAGACTTAGTTAACACATAGCACAGTAGTAAAGATGAAAGTAAAAGTATCTACTGCTGTTTATTGGGCACCTAGTATGTGAAGATACAGGACCTGCTTCTAAATGAATTTCTACTCCAGATTGTAACTCCTCACTTTGATTCCGCTTCAACATACCTAAAGGACACCTCAGTCTCACAAACTGCTAGTAATGGCTCTTGGTGATAGTGGTTCTTAACGCTTAAGAGGCCACACTGCTCCTGTCCCCACCCAGCATGCCCACCATCACTAGTCATGGCCAGGCCTGGTGGGCAGAGACTTTTCAGTCTGACGCCCATTTCTGCCACCTCTCAGCTGGGTGAGCTTGAACGAGTTGCTTTAGCTCATGGCATCTGAACGCCCTCCTTTGTAAAATACTTATTTTTCAGGGTTTTTAGGACGGTTAAATTATAGATTCCACATGAAAAAATCTGTAGGTCTCACACTGTTGAATAAATCTAGATTATCCCACATTTCAGGAGGGTGTTCAGGCAGTGTGTATAGATGACAGCAGTATGTTTTTACAAAATTGTAACTGTTGGTAACATTTATATATTGGAAAATATCTAAAATACACGAAAATACATATCCCTTGCAAAGTGATTCTGTTTTCTTAATATACTGGCGGAATTGAAATATACAAGAGAATTGAAAACAGCATGTTTTAATATACCCAAGTTTAAATTTAAATAAAATGAAATTGAATAATAACTGTGTTGTATTGGAATGCGAATAACAATTTTGTGGGTATTTCGGCAGAAAGTGGTTTTCAATTAGACATTGAAGAGAAGTCTGACTTTAATTAAAGTCAGTGTAAGTTGTTGTTTCTTCATGTCTAAAATATAATGAAGGGCATTATTATAATTCTGTAACAAGAGACCAGCCCAGGAATGACCTAGAAGAACCTCAGTGATCAGTGATGACTGCTGGAGGGACAGATGCTCCAGAGACTTCTTGGGGTTATTACAAGAATTTGAGAACAGCCTATCCAGATGGCCTTTTTCCTACTGATGTTGCTTCTAGATACACATATCCTATCTTACTATAATAGTACAGATTTCTTTAGTTGTCGCTTTAAGTTATGAAAAGACTTTGGAATGTAATGGTTTCTTCCTAAGTGTTTAATCCATGAGAGTTTTATGTCTTTACCAACAGGTTGCCATCCACAGTGCCTGATGAGAATATACCTCATGATCTTTACTTACTCCCTCACTTGGACAACACAGGTAAATGAGCCCATTCAGGGTAGGTACTCTGTCCCGTCCCCGTTTGTTGCTACAATTGGAGACATGCATATATTTTTAGGTCAATATGAGAATATCTCAACTTTGAGCCTATTCTCTTTCTTTTCTATTGCCGTTTATTAACAGATACCTACTCTTTTATAAAAAAAAAAAAACATGCTAAGCTAAATTCTCTTTGCCTCTTTCTACTTGGTCAGTAGCTTTAGACAACTTCTTGGTCTGCAGGAAAAGGGTCCATGTACTCAGCAATTATGGGCCCATGTGGGGCTGTGTATCATGGAAAATCATATGAAAAAGAGTTGAAAATATCCTTAGGCATTCCTTTTTTGACATTTTGTGCCAGTTCTACTTACATTTTTACACTAGTAGTTAATAGTTAAGTCTCTGTGGGCTTTTGAATTGTTCCTTAAAACTCTCTGTGTTTGAATAGCTGGTTGTGAAAGACAAATTTTTTTAAACATTTAAAGTCTCACATCTTACAGTAACCTTTGAAAACACAAATGTGAATTATCCTTTGACCACAAATCCGATTATAGACACGTTTGTATATTAAGTAATGTATTTGATTAAGAATTCTATTTTCTAGCTAAAATGAAATCTGCTCTGAATTCCAAGGTTAAAGCCTATATGCCCTGGAAAAATCCTATTAGTCGAAGTTATCTTTGTCATAAAGAGAGCAGTTTTATGAGTAGACTTACTAAAATTGTTTTTTTCTAAAGGTCTGGGCAGAGTAATCCTACCACAAAGTTTCCATGTAAATGCAGCTATGGGCTTAACTTTTTTGCCTCTTGTATAGAATTCAGACTTAAAAATGGTTTTAAAAGAACCATTTCAGCTACTCTTTCAGAGTCTGTAATTGTTATTTTACTCCTTTTGTCTTATATCAAGAAAAATAATTTTCTCCCTCCTTACCTATTGGTTCTTAGTTGAAGTCCTATAGGACAAACCATCCCGGACTATTAAATTATTATCTTAATCATAATAGTTTTTATACAGAAGTACTACTGCGAGTATAGTTTAGCTTGGAGCAGTAGTAGAGGAGCGTGAGTCTCTCGGCTGACAAAGCAGCTTCAATCTGTGTTTTTAGTCATCAAGAAGCTTTGGAGTATTACCTGACCATTTAGCTACTCTCATTTCCCAGCATGAGACTAGCAGCTTGTCATGTTCACTTTCTAAGTTTAAAGAATAATGAGGGAAATGTAAATTCAAGCCACTGAAGAACATTTCACGTCCATCAGATTGGCAAAATGAAGAAGCCCTGCAATACCTAATGTTGGCCTGGATTTAAGAACCAGGAACTCTTCCACGGTGCTCATTTGAGCGTCTACTTGGGTAGTCATTGGAGATGGGTTGGCTATGTCCGGTAAAACTGAAGATGCCCAGACCCCATGGCCAAGCAATTCAACTCCTTGCTATGAACTCTGAAGATGCTCTTGTCCACAGCAGAGTGGATTTTTACAGTTGTGTTCATTCAAGCACCATGGTAGTATTAAGAATGTGAAAACAACTTAATGTCCTTCAATAAGAGGATGGAAAACTCAATTATGATATATTCACATAATAGAGGAATACACTGAATTGATAAATGAATGAACGTTTGGGATAATCATTTACCAGCTTGGGTGGATCTCAGAAATTTCATGTGAACAAACAAAATGTTGCAGAATATATATCTATATATCCCATATACACATACATGTGTGTAGGTAGAGTTTATAAACCTGCCTGGGAATGGCCAGTACGATGCAGGGTGGTGGTTACGTCTGCGAGGGGTTTCCGGGGTAGGACACACAGGGGCACTGAGCTGTGTACCTGGTGTTTCTTTACTTTAAGCCGCAGAATGGCACCTTTCCTTATCATCATCTTCGTTTTTGCATTTTGTGTGTGTGTCTTGAATCCTGCATAATAAACATAAAAGTTATTTTATACGTATATTTTAAGATGTTATTGTGGATATAAAACATTCTGATCTTAAAACACTATGAGCCTCTGGGTATTTTTGCAACTAAGTGGGCTAAGCAAGTTTTCTATTGGTTCTAAAGCATCAGCTGTGTTGCTGTCCCCGCAGGTACTGTCAATGGGAAGTACTGCTGCCCTCAGCTGTTCATCAATCACAGGTGTTTCTCAGGCCCCTACCTGAACAAGGGGAGGATCGCAGAGCTGCCTCAGTCGGTGGGGCCAGGCAAATGTGTACTGGTGCTCAAAGAGGTAAAGCGCGTTCGTGGTCACCTGGGCTTCTTTTCACAGGGCGCTTAAGGCGTGGGTGCAGTTTCTGAAGGGGAGCATGGACATGTGAATCCATTCAGGTGACATTGGCCAAGCACCTCCATATTCTCGACCCTGTAGTCATACAAAGATGGAAAATGGTGTTTCTGCCCTGGAAAGGCCCGCGGCCTAGTGGGAAGAATGTACATACAGTCCTCCCGAGTCGGGAAAGCACTGCACCAGATCTGAATAAAGAGCTTCAAGAAGACAAGGATCAGTTGGTTGTGCACACAGTGAGGTTTAGGACTGGAGAACAAAGGTTTCCCCAAGGTGCTCAGTAAGCATGGGAGGGCACCAGAAGGGGAGTCCGGAGACGGCAGAGGGTATTGTTAAGCACGGACACCCCGCAGCCAGGTTGGGGTGGCATCTTTTTCCCTGCACAGCACGTAGTGCACTTAGGACATGCGTGATAAATGCTTCTTCCCTGGGCTCCTGGCACCCGCAGGAAGTTTGTGTCCTGGCTGCATCCAGGCAAAGTGCAGGCCGCTCATCACTTTGGTGGCATTACTTCCCATCTCTCCTGTCTTTGGGAGCCGACCTGCGAAGAGGAGTGTGAGTCCTAATTGCGCTGGCGGAGGTTTTCCTCTGTTAGGTTTTTGTAGCTGGGCCCCAGACAGTGTCTGGAGACAGACTGGAACTTTGGAGCCATTTCCAATCTGTTCTTGAACTCTCTTGGCTTTTTTCACATACATCAGTGCTCTCTCAAGAAAGGGGACACCACATATATCTTCTTTATTGCTACTGTAGCATGATGAATATGGTTTAATTCGGGGGGCATAACGGTCCATTTCTCCAATGAACAAATATTTGATAGGCAACTTTGAGGAGCCAGGCACCATGAAGGGCTGGGTCAAAAACACCATCTGCCTGTTTGGGTTTCACATGCCTGTTGGGAAGATGGCATGATTCTAAGCTGAGTACAGCGGGGTGAATATGCAATGGAGATGAGGGCAAAGTGCTCTGGGAGCACAGGGCAGGCAATGACAAGTGCATGGCAAATGACACTTGACCTGACTTAGGCACAGCATGGGTGAGACTGTGCAGCCGGGCGTTGAAGGTGGTGTCGGGAAAGGGAGGTGGCCATGTGTGGCTGGAAGGTGGAATAGGTGCTTAGGCTGGGGGTAATTTGTAGGTATAAAACTGTGTTATATTTAGAAAAGAACAATAGAGTGAAATCTGGCTCGCCCGGTGCTTCAGCGTGAGGCAGGACCTCGTAGCTGGGGGCCTGCTTGCGAGAGGCCCCCTTTGGCATTCTGACGAGTTTAGAGTCACAGCTGTGGCTGACAAGGGCCCTCCTGGTGACACTGCTAACGCTGTTCTTCTCAACATGGGAACCTCTGTAAGGTTTCAAATTTCATTTTACTCAGAGAGAATGAGATTATTGCAGCACGTCAGAGCACATTTGCTTTTCTAAGCCTTTAGCAGTATTAGCAGTTCAACTACATATTTAGGAAAAAATCTATTTGAGAGAGAAAATTGGGATGACAGTTAGGGAGAAGCCCTGTAAAAAACTGATTGGAGTGTGGTGGTTATTTCTTTGGGAGCATTTAATGTAGAAAATGTGTAAAAGGTGGTTCCCATCATTAGTGAGCTTCCGGTCAAGTGGGGAAGATGAACAGACAGGTGGGATACTGCAGAGTTGTCCGTATCTCGTGCACCGTGACCATGCTGGCATGGGTGCTCTGAGACCGCAAGGAAGTCCCACATGGCCTGCAAGCCAAGGGGAGTGAGCACCTTGCTCCAGCTAGAGGGAGAGCTTGTGGGAGGCCTGGAGCACCCGCAGAGCCCTGGGGTGGAGGGAAGGAGAAATGGCAAGGAACGCCTGCAGCTCCTTCAGCATGGGGGCCGCAGGGGGTGGACACGGAAAGGGCACAGTGTGTAGTGAGCGCCTCCTGTGGGCCAGGGCGTTGTGCCAGGCCCTTTGCATGTGTCGTCATGTCACAGCAGTTTGGAGCTGCTCTCACTGAAGATAGCTCACCGTGAGGTACATGGGCATTTGTCCTGAAAGCAAACCTAAGCAGCAAGTGGACTCCTCGGATGGGAATCCATAGCTACGGAAAGATGGTGAGGGGAGACACCTGTGAAGGCTGCAGCGATGTGGGCAAGTGGCGGGACCACTGATTAGCTCCAACTCTGTAAGGCCGCGCAGCCCATAGAGCTCTGCAGATGGTGGACTTGGTCAGAGAAGAAATCAAATTAGGATTTCATGTAACAATATCTGTCACGATGTAGATTAAGACCCTAGATGGAGACTGGAGTCTCCAGTCCCCAATGCTTTGCGCGCCCGAGTGCGTTTTTTGCTACAGTGACATTATCTGCCTGTATCTGCTTCTATTTTTGTTGCAAGTGATCAGAATGGGACATGGAAGCTGAAAAATACAGTGAACTGACAGGTTTCTTTGAAGCTACCTGCAAGACCCTTTCACACTGCATGTCCCAGCTATTAAAATGAGGTCCTCGGTCACCTGCCGGCTCTGTTAACAAACGAGATGATGACTCTAGGTTCCACCTCTCTTTAGGGGTTGGCTATTTCACTTTACTACATGATTTGTTTAAAGTCAAAAGCAGTTATCCTTGATCAATTCTCCAGCCAGGCCAGAGCAGTTTTCTGATGACAAAACTAGTTTTTTGCTGATAGGCCGAGACCGCGTGAGGCAGGAAGGAAACAGAAGCAAGCACTTCAGTTCTGGGCGTGCAGGGGAAACGTGAGTTCCTCCCAGCCAGTATTTATGCCGATGCTCTTCCTTCAGTTCCAGAACCTCTGTGTGGTTTCAAATTTCATTTTCCTTCAAGAGAATGAGGCGACTGGAGCAAAAACAGTGCTTTGCTTTTTCAGGCCATCGGTGGTGTTCGCAGTTAAAGGTTTTATGTCTTTTTAAAGTGACGGTGTTTCCTTCTGTCTGGTCTGCTAGAAATAGGTCACGTCTGTGGGTGCGGGTACAGAGCCAGCCTGTGGAGAGGTTCAACGCAGGCTGAGAAGGGGGTTGCTGAACCCTGAGAGGGCAGTGTCCCAGGGAGGAGGGAGTTTTTGGCAGACATGGTGATTGATGCGTGTCTCTAGTCACCTTCTAGCAATGAGTGTTCGGAGCACTGGACATGAATGGCGTTTTGAGGGACTGTGAACTGCGATGGCTTCAGTCCCAGCAAGGGTACAGGGAAGAGGGAGGTAGATGAGCTCCAAGGAGCTGGAGCCAGAGCCAGTAGGTGGCCCAGTCCAGCCATCCCACACAAAGGAAACCAGAACCAGCAGGCCTTGAGTGGATGGTGCAGATTGAGCCTGTCAACATCCCCTCAGGGGCTGGAGCCATTTACGAGACCCCTGAAATCTGTCACATGAAAGGTGGGACCTGTAGGTCCAGATAGTAAGTGGTGGTGTTTATCACAAATCAGACGCACACGCTCAGTATGATGCTTGTCCATCGGGACTGTCCTTTTCTGTCCCAGATACTTTGGCCTGCACGCCTGCCCCTTTAATGCTAGGTCCTTGGCTAGATGTGCAGACTACAGGTCTGTGTGGGCCTGGCAGACTGACGAGGTCTCCGTATCACAAGCCCCAACACCTCGGAGACTGTTAGCATCATCCTTGTTGGCCGTTCACAAGGGCGTTCGGGAAATTTCTGCTGTATGCAGCCTCATGCATCACCAGGCCTATGGTGCTTGCTTTGCACAGAGAGTAATAAGACAGGTGTTGTGTGCGCATGTCCACGTGTGAAGGAGACAGTAAATGAGCGAGCCAGCCTGAGCACAAGGAAAGGTAGAGAGGAAGACCTCATATCACACGTGCTCATGTCATCGTGTCCTGCCATCGTGTCCTGCCACGGGAAGTTCAGCTTCTGAAGATGCCAGGTCTGGGGTAGCCACCAGGGCGCGCAGGAGCGTGGAGGAGGCTGGAGTGTTTGCTTCTACCAGACGAGACCTTCACCTCCCTCAAACTGCTTTGGTGGCCTCGGAAGGTGCAGCAGTCACGACGTGAGGCTGCGCAGGTCCACTCTGGTCCATGCACATTTCTTTTCATCTGTCCACAAACTTTCTAGGGTCCGTTGGGTACCGGGGTGTTCAGTTTTTCCAGTTTGGCAGATAGTTACTGAGTGCCTGCCAGCTCTTCCAGCCCTGGGAACACAGTAGTGAATGAAATCCAATACAGCCATCTCTCACTCATTCGCACCCTGAGCAGTTCATGAGACACAACCAGGTGGTCACTGTGCTGGAAGCCGGGGGTCATGGTGAGCAAGAGGTGTGACCCCTCCCTTGGTGAGTGACAGTTCTTCTGCAGACAGGGGTGGGGCTTTGTCTTCTCTGTCCTCTAGGCAGGCCACATGAGTGCAGACACTCCGGTAGAACTCGGCTCCTGCTTCCGTGCCTGGTGGGAGTAGGAATGTGGTGGTTTGTAATCTGATTGTTAAACTTGGTTTCACTGGCCTCTGTGTGTTTTGTGTGGCTCCGGATCCAGTGTCACACCGTTTGCTTTGCTGGCGGTAGGAATGGAGCAAGTCTGCCTAACTCCGGCATCTGGCAGTCATCTCTGACTTGCGGATTCTTCCATGAAGTGTGACAGATAGAGGCTGGTCGGGTAAAGTAGCACAGCAGAGGGTTGAACTCTGGAGCGTCAGTCTGAGGCAGAAAGCGCATGTGCAGATGGGCCATGACCAAGCATGCAGGGCCCCGTGCGGACTCCGCTCCACCCCGCCAACATGGTGAGCAGGCTGTGGAGCGGGGGGCGGTTCCCAAGAAACCCTGTGCTTCTGCAAGGCCAGGGCCCTGTTTCTCTTTGAGCCTCAGGCCCCAGGGATGCTGGTCCCCCCTCCCTGGCCCTCAGCCATAGACTCTGGACAACAGTGATGTGAGAGGGGATGTGACCACCTCCACATACCCACCCCACTCTCCATACCCCCTAGTCTTGGAAGTTTCCACTGGGACCTGACAGTTTGGAATTTGGCTTCAGC